CGTGTACCTAGTATAAAGCTGCTGCTTTGGGATTTTAAGAACTAGGTATGTCTTCTTATAGAATGAACTCTGTTTCTACCTAAAGTAAGTGATCCTTGTGAAGTAGCCAAATTGTCTGCCTAGGAAAAGAATTTATCACAGGATTCTGGCTTTGCAGATTTCAGACCACACAGCCCTAAACTTAGCAACTTGAGGGATCCAGTCTCTGTTTTGCTTCTAGCTGAGCCTTCCATGGCAAAAGCACAGTTTCAGAGACAGCAGGGAAGTATCCAAATGTAGACGATATGGACCCTGATTCCAATAAATGAAACCCTTCAAGTCTTCTCCTATAGCCCGCTCCCACCTCCACCCCATCTTGGTCCTCAGACAGCCTTGCTTTCAAATGGTACCTTTTGCACTTACAAACTCATGTTTTTATCACCTCTGTGTGAGTTTCTCAGTGGGGACGTTACTAACGTTCTTGGCAGAGCAGTTTTTTGTTGAGGGGACTGCCCACACTTTCAGAATGTTTGGCATCCCTGGTATCTGCCCACTTTGTATTCCTCAATCCTCATGACAACCCACAATGTCTCCTAGGCAAGCCTACTACATCCCCCTTTGAGAATCAGCTACCGATCCTCCCCGCGTACTAGAGGGTAGCAATCTTATTGACCTATAACATTTCTGTAAGTATTTATATTTTAGAAAAGGAAGATTTTTATATTCAAATCGCTAATAATTATATGAAAATGTATTCAGTATCATCACTCATCAGGGAAGTGCAAATTAAAACCACAATGAGATAACATTACATTCTACCAGAACAAATAAATTTAGTAAAAAAACTGACAATAAGTCAACAAGGGTGTGGAGCAACTGGTACTGGGAATGGAAACTGGCAAAACCTCTTTGGATAAATAACTATTTGACAGTTGGTTGAAGTAAACAGAGACTTCTCTAGTGACCCAGAAATTCTACCCTTAGATATATGTCCAAGAGTAATTGTTATTGAGATCTGTCAGAAGACATATATACAAGAATGCTCACAGAGCATTGTTAATAATAGCCAATTGGAAATAGCCCAAATGTCCATCAGTAGTAGAAAGGATAAATTAACTTTGGTATCTTCACACAATGAAATATAACATGGTAAAAAAGAAGAATGTGCTGCTACACACAACAACATTGAATCTCACAAGCATAATCATGATTAAAAGCAGTCAGACAAAAGAATATATAATCTGATTCCCTTTGTGTGAAGTTCAAGAACAGGCAAGACTGATTGATGATAAGAGTCAGGATAGGAGTTAGCTGTGGGGGCAGAGATGTGGACTGAGAAGAGGCTGGAAGGAACAATCCAAGGTGGTGGAAATGTTCTTGACCATGATGTGGGTGATGGTTACACAGCATGTGCATGCACATGTATACACACATATGTATATGTAGAAATTTATCTAGCTGTATACTTAAGATTGATATACTTTGGTGTATATAAATTAAATACAGGAAACTTGGAAATTTAATTAATTTGTGGCATTTCAGAAAATATAAAAATAAATAAATCAAGGCAGTTGAAGGAAGTTGTTGGGTGTGTCATGAAGGAAGGTTCATGCTTCTAGGTTCCTGGGGCTCAAATTAGGAGAGGTGATGTTGCTAGTGCTGGTGGCATGAGGTGATGAGAATCGTGGGAGTAGAATTCCCTGCCCTCTGGATTGTCTGTTCCTTTCTGTCTATACCCACAGAGTTTGGGGGGATCCATTTTGTTTGTTTTTAAGTCTTAATTCTTGTCCTACTTTGCATACTGGCCAAGCAGTGAGCAGTGTTGAGGAGACACTGGAAGAGAGTACATGGCAGTGGTTATAAATGAGGTATTTATGAGTTAGGGGAGAAAACTCCACCTTAACCAGGTGGCCAGCAGCAAGGCTGAGATGATGCTGTTGTAGAAACCGCCTAACATGGGAAAATTCTAGGTCCTAAGAGGTGATCATGGTTTGTGGAGTGGTGCCACTAATGAACAGGGGTACAGGCCATGCAGAAGAAAAGGAAGGCTGATAATTGCACCCTAATGGGATGTGAGGGAAAACAGAAGAGTGGAGATTTGTCCAGCTTTTTGACCACAACTGGCTGGTTACCCAAACCTGAGGTTTCACTTGGGACATAGGATTAGGGCTTCACTCGCACCATGTGAGCTACAGCTGGACTTGGCATTCTTCCTGGTCCTTCACAGTGGTTTTCTTAAGAAGCATGAGTTATGGAGTAATATTTTCAGTTACATGCTCTGCATAAAGGTGCATTATAGCACAACACACACTCTGAGAAAGAATAAGACTGTCAGGTGTTGGACCATATGCTGTGACCAGTGTAATCTGGCTCGACCAGTTTCCAGGTGTGTCCAAATTAGAATATTGTAGAGTTTATACAACAAATATGTGTTTGGCTGGCTGGTTTAGCTCAGTTGGTT